GCGGCGAGCAGTCCTGACAGGTACGTCCGCCCGCGTCCCGAAAGGGAAAAGACGACAGGCCTGGCGGCGATAAGCCTGCTCAGCCGGCCTACGAATTGCCAATTATTGTCGTCCTCCAACTGTGAGCACGGACAATAAGTCAAGTTATTTGGATCGCGCGAGAATTGAACCTGCTCCAGAGTCCGAACACGGTCGTGCGTAGAGCTTCGCGAGCTTCGCCAGTCGCACACTTGTTGGCGCGGACAGGGTGGCGCCGCCGGGGCGGGCGAAGGCGCCAGCTCAGCTCAGGGCCGCGCGAATCGAAAAGTAGTTGGTGTGGCGACGCCGGGCGGGAACACGCCACCGTGCGTGACGTCTTTAGCGCGCGCCGCTCGCTCGCTCCTCTGCCTCGCTCCCTCGCGCTCGCTCGCTCGCCGACCCTCGCTCGCTCTCGCTCGCTCCCCGTACCGCCGCCGGACGCAGCCCTCCCTGCCACCGCCCATTAGGGCTCACTTTTAAAACTAAGTGCTGCTCGCCGGCGTCACGTGGAGCCGAGGCAGCCGAGGCAGCCGAGGCACGCCAGTTCAGGGAAGTCCCCGTTCGCCACACTCGCCGCACGACCCGGAGAACCCTGGACAGCAGGTCCGATACTCTGATGCCGCAATGTCGGGCGTTAACATCGGCGAGCGAGCCGTGGTGGTAATCCGCATAACGTAACGTCCGGGGCTGCTCCTGCTGGACCCAGCACTGCAAGCGCTGCCCCGCCCACCTCCGCGCGGCTCGGACAGGGGAGACAGCGGCCGCCCCCTCCCAGCCCCGCCCCTTGAAAAGTTTGTCAAAGTTAATTATTCACACACACCCCGGCCCGGGGGGTGGCGTGCACCTGTTACCTTGAACCACTCCAGCTGGACGATGCTGAAGGCGTTGCGCAGCTCCTGCGGCACGGAGCCCGCCCGCGCGGACGGCGGCGTCTGCCGCAGCTGCAGGTGGTCGTCCAGCACCTTGAGAGCGGCGCGCATCTCCTTGCTGGGCTCGGACCTGGCGGCAGAGAACAACGGCTCTTTAGGCAAGAGTAGGAGAAACAGTCACAATTTGTCATAGCGCTGACGAAGGTGTTGAGGCAGCGCAGAGCGCCACCGCGTCGCCGCCCGCTCAAACGCCCGCGCAGCGGCGCACCGGAAGTGCGGTGACTC